GAAAGTTTGTCTGTAAGAACTTGTATCCCATAGAAACAACAGAAAGTTTGTCTGTAAGAACTTGTATCCCATAGAAACAACAGAAAGTTTGTCTGTAAGAACTTGTATCCTATAGAAACAACAGAAAGTTTGTCTGTAAGAACTTGTATCCTATAGAAACAACAAACAATATTTCTTAAGAAAAACAAAAAAAAAGCATGTGTAGTTCGCCAAATAACTTTGTTGAACAACTGAAGAGACGTTTCTTTAAATACGACCCTTAAAGAGATAAAGTAAGCTTATAAACAACACAAGACGTTTATTCACTTGTCACTAAGGTGCATGAAACTGAAGGCAATTATTATAGTGATAACAATAATAAATGGTAAGAGTTTAGTAATTCTGTGTTGGTTCCTAAAAAATACTGTTTCGCTTACTCTAAGTTTCAAAATCTGAGCTATGAGGATTTCACGATAGACAAACTACAGGCGTTAATCCTAATCCAACAAACTAAACAACTGCACAACTAATTTAATACCACTTATTGATCACCAATGCCCCTTTTTTGTTGATAAGAAACGTTACTGTTTGACTTGAGAGTATCTAAAGGAGGTCCTTCTAAGCTGAGCAGCAACCCGTATTTTGTTCCATATTTTAATGTTTTTTGTTTTGTTCTTTCTTGCGATAGGTTTTTGCTTGTGAATTTATTCTTCCTTGAATTGCTTACGAATTCATTCGTATACGTAGTATCATGCGGGCTGTTTACTTAACGAAAAGAATGAAGTTTTAGTCAATTTTTTTCCTGGAGAACTAGTAAAAAGAAAGATGAATTAATATTGGGAAAGATGTCGTTTTTCATTCTTCTGCAAGTTATGATGTGAAAGCAGTCGTCCTGTATTTGTTAACCATACATCCGTGCGTGACCCTCTTTATAAACGTGCCCATCTGTTTAGGGCTTTTGTGTAGTCGTGATCAATAGCAGCAGATTTTTATACAGACATTGAAAATACTTTCTTCTTTCTAACCGAAAGCCTAGACCTTTCAGAATCTCCTACAGTCACCAAACAACAGAATCTTGTAACTTGGGATCTAGACGTCTCAACTGCCCTTCGTAAAACAACTCTTAAGATCCCCATTAGCCCGACTTCCGACTCAGCGGTTGCTGACAATGGTCTAAATAAACTCCATATTTACGCTAACGAGAGTTCCTCAGATATCTTCTTCCTATTCGTCAGTGGACATCATCTTCCCAATTCAATTGGCCGTGAAAGAAGAATGGCTTTTAAAGGAGGTTATGCCTGGAGACGTCTTTCTGATATACAATACACGACACCCGCACCCCTAACCCAGGGCGCTCCCCCCCCCAGTTCAGAGTCGGAAAAGCGCTTTTTTTTAACTTCCTGCACACTGGTTTATGAACATACACCATCGAACAAGATTATATCGCAGATTTTACGTCATTTCAACATGCCATTAAACAGTCGCGACTAGGGGAGCTGTGCTCCTCTTTTGTTTCCCAACTTTCAGTATAACCTGCGGCTATTATCATGTTAACTAACAGAAATTGTATTCATGTTGCCTTGACAGTTTACGATGTAAGATCAAACATATATATGGCAGTAATTCCATTAAAAGTAACGAACCTACTTGTAACAATTTCTTTTATACAGCTACACGATGTAAGATCTGATATACAGCAATACTGTCATTCAAAGAAACGAATCTATTTGTAACAGTGTCTGATATATAGATACAAAACGCGTTATTCTTGTTTATAGAAATTCTGACAATTAAAATAGCTCTACAAAAAACAGAAGGTTCGAGGACTGAATTGGTAAGCAGAAAATTTAATAAAAGAAAGATGATGTTCGTCAAAGTAGCTGGAAAGTGGTGAAATTAAAGAGTTAGCTCGCATCAAAGAAACGACACAAACGCCGAAGTATAAACATAAACAATGAAGAAACTTTATTAATGGAAATATTGGAGCTTTTCTTTTTAACATTTGGTTCGAGTTTTAACAGGCTGAACTTAATTCTTATAGGATTGGTTTCACAATACAGTTACACTGAACTATGATTCTGTGATCAAACATGAAATGTAGACACACTTCACAAACAGTCGACTTTCTTTAAAGGATTAGACCACTGACTTACTGAAGTTTCACACTAGACTGGTACTAAACTGAACTGCTTAAAAACCTAACTAAGGCTTTACTGAAACAAAAATATAGAGGTAAATAAAGGTCACGTCATTAGTTCCCCCAATTACATTTAGTTGATTCTGAATCTCCGGAAGGTATGTTGAATGGTAGGGTTGACAGCTAAGACTAGCAAACTAGTAATACTTTCTTATAATAAATATGTAACTTTTTAAATTTAATGCCTTTATTTTTAACATTTTCTTACATACAGAAAAAACCCACCTATTCATATAATTGTAGGAGCGTATTCTTAATACTCTGAGAAAGTGCAATGTTAAATTGTAGCGCCTTTTAACCAATCAGAAATGATCGTCAACCTTACATTTTAATCTAAATGGGAACATGTAACGTGTTTTGCTTGATTTTTGACACATTTATATATCAACAATTTAGAATATTTTACTAAAAACATTATAGACAAGAAGTTAACTATTTATCTATATTATTTTTCTTGTTGCGTTATATTGATAAAAATACATTTTTTTTGTCACCGTGATCTCGAGTTTTGTTATTGTTGTGGAGAAGTTCTTTCGTTGGCGGGTTCTTTATATTATCTGGTGAAAATAATCCAATGTCCAGTCCATGTAACGATAATAAATTACTTTGTTTCCTCTTTTAGCGTTTCCTCTAACTTGAACACTTGTACTGCCGTAAATTTGCTGTAGGCCTACGTTACAAACCACGTTGCCTAATTTAAAACAAATTAGATTACTTGTACAAAGTAGTCGCGATAGCTAACACACTGGCCGATTCACTCTCTATCTTGAAATCATTTTGCACTCTTTAACTAACCTCATATTCCAATATATCAGAACTTTGTATCACAGTCTTAAAACTAGACTTTAAATTACATCTTTAAAACGTTCAAGACGTTCTCTCTAGGCCATTAAATCCTGAAGCTTTCTCTAGCTTACATTTAAGCTACAAACTATAGTTTATAACATAATTTAACAAATAAAACAATGGAATTGATCATCAATGTTCTTATAAACACCTCGGTAATCTTGAATTTAGAAACATACAAAAGAAAGTTTTTCTTGTCATTACACTATCACTTCTTAACATTTTCACCACCATGGACATATGGACATGTTACCTTCCTTTGTACTACCATGGACACATATATATATATATATATGTTACCTTCCTTTGTACTACCATGGACATATATATATATATATGTTACTTTCTTTTGTATTATCATGGACATATATATATATGTTACCTTCCTGATCACTATCACGGATATACATATATTACCTTCCTGACCACTACTTTGGACATATATATGTTATCTTCCTGAGCACTGCCATGGATATATATATATATATATGTTACCTTCTTGAGCACTGCCATGGACATATATATATATGTAACCTTCCTGAGCACTACCATGGACATACATATGTTAACTTCCTGAAAACTGCCATGGATACATATTTATTTTACCTTCCTGAGCACTACCATAGACATATACAAGTTAGCTTTCTGATCATTAACATGGATATACATATTAAATTCCTGAGCACTACCATGGATATATATATGTTAACTTCCTGAGCACTACCATGGATATATATATATATTACTGTTACGACAGCGGAAGTCACATGACGCTGGTAACACCTCTTGAGTTTCTAGAAGGATCATGACTTTTCCTGAAAATTCTAGTCTTTTCCATGCGCCCTCTATTTTAGTATACAAGCCCGGCAAATAATGGCAGATAGACAGATATAGAGACAGATAATTGAGTCAAGTGAGCGGTAGTGACTGTAAGTAAAGTGAGTGAATCGTTTTGAAATATAGCGTGTGTTTAAGTTAAAGTGACTGTGGAAATTCTGTGTATTGCAAAGTTGTATTGAGAAAGAATAAACTAGTTTTATTTAAAAAAGGACTTGTATCGCTGAAGTTCCTCTCGAAAAATTTATACCGGAAATTAACAAA